CTTCACTTTTCACTCACCGGAATCTCCATGTTCAGCACTTTCGTCTTTACATTGAACTGGTCAGAACTAGAATTAAATTGGTCGTTTTCACATTTTAAAATGAAGCCACGTCGTATCTTGCAGATGTCAACACATCTGTGAGAAGAGAGTTTGGCACATTTTTATAAAAACACAGCTCGTCACCTGTCCAACGGTCTGCAGGTCGAGCAATAACTTAAACACGATAATTTATTTGGAAATGTGTTTGTAAGTTGTTGTTAAGATACGTTTAAAAGGTTTAGTTTGTTAACATTACCTGTTTTCGGTCAGTAACCTATCCGCTTGTGAAATGTATTGGCGTTGCTAGGCTGGTAACCAAGGAAGCGCGATGCCTGGATTTGACATAGTGACAGTGCCCGCCCCTTGATTATGCTGTTAGGGTACTACTCATTACACACTACTAATTGTATTGTTATTGTCTATTCTGCAAGTGATATTCCATATTCTACTTGTTATTATTCATTTATTATTATTGTTGTTGTTGTATTTTACATACTATAATTAAAGGATTATACATACATGGCATTCTGTATCATACTATACGCTATACCCTATTATCAATCTATTATTATGCTAATATATTATTGTACTAATTACTTTTTTATTGAATGTTATTCTTAATTATTATAAAAATGTTATACTACTGTAAATATATTATTTACTGTTGCATCTTCTATATTACAAATATATTTGCTGAACTGTTGTTGTGCCAAATCACATATGTATTTTCATGCCATCAGTTATCTTTGTTATTGTCTGTTTTGGACTATGTACCTGTAAATAATTGCATCAATTTAGTGCTATAAAATATATATAAAGGAGCCTGCCAGTGTGAGGTGTGAGCGAGGTATGCTCTGACCTGAAGCACAAGAAAAGCTAAAAGGGTGAGGTTAAACACAGAAAATACTTTTTGAGAAGATTTAATTTACACAAGTGTGAGCTTTTGTAATTCCTTAGTTAAATTTATTTAATACCTAATTTAACTATCGAGATTTTAAGTATCTGGATTTTTTTTGTACACCACGTAGATCATAAACCACTGATATCCGTTGATTAAAAACAAACGTTGTCATATTTTTATACAGAAAAACCGCAGCTCTCCCTGTTCGTTGCGTTTGTTTACAGGGAACTCTTGCCCGCACCAATATGGCGGACGCGTTGACGTATCGCAGCAACGGACCGAAACGGCCAATGAGGCGTCTAGGTATTTATATGTCTATGGTGCCCGCCCCTTGCACGCGTATGTATCGTGTATGTGTCGTATTTTAGCTGGTTCATAGATGAAGAAGTAAAAATACACTTTCTTCTTTGCAAAAAAAAAAAAGGCTGCTTGCAGTCAACTGGTATATGCCAGCGAAGATGAAACGGCAATCGAAAGTCACGTCTTTGTATAAGTATGTAACAGAAGAAGTAAATAAATAAATAAAGTAACATTCTAGATAAGCCACATATTCTCATTCAAATAATGTGGATGCATTTTAGACTGCATATATATGCACCTAATTTAACATGCACATATATCTTCAGCCTCTGTTTCTTCAGTTAAGCATGCGATTAGTCATTAACGACACAGTTGATCAAACAGCTTGTGTCATGAGATATGGACTAGAATAGAGTGACAAGTTTTTCTTTAGTTGGACATACTTGGCTAGGCCTAAACTCCCATTCACGCTTCCAGTTTTCTGGTCCTGGATGTCCGGGTTCTTCTTCATTTCCTTTCTTCCTTACAGAACTTGTGCAAAACTTGCACATACACTATTCCTGGTCACCCAGTCACAGAGAAAAACAAACAACAACCTTAAATCACAAAGGACAAGGAGTACAGAAACCCTCTAGAGGATGCGGAGAAAGACAGAGAGTGAGATAAATGAAATAAACTACTGACAAGCATGAAATGTTTGAAACGAAGGGACATGCATGATGGGGGGGAGAGAGATGCAGTTTCATGAACCCCTCGCCGCGGCTGAGGGCCATCAATCAGAGTCAACATTACAGTGCTCTGACATCAGCCCCCTGCTGCTCTTTCATCAGTACATGATGAGCATCTCTCCAGAGGAAACCCATCTCTCTGAGGCCATCACACACTGCATGAGGCTGCTTATGAGTGTCTTTGACTTTAGCAGATACTTTGTGTTTTCTATGGCCGAATTCACAATATAAAAAGGCTGTGCTCTTTTCTTAGCTGGTGCTTCTGGAATTGCCCCCAAAATCCTGCTTGACACCATGCCTGTGATGAAAAATTTTAAAACGCCCTGCTGTAGAAAT